TCGTTTTTTAATTACATCAAGATGTTTTTGTATAATTTCAGTAGCTTTTTCACTTTTCTCATTCTTTGCTAATTGTTCATCTATTGCATTCATTCTATCAAAAACTGTTCGTGAAAAAATTATAGCTTCATGTCTAAAATCTGCATATATTTTAGTGGCTTCATTTACACGAATATCCAATGAATTTAATGATTCTGAAATTTTTTTTCGAAGATTTTGATCAATTTGATCCATATTTCGAATTGTTATAGCAAGATATCGACATGCCAAACCATTTTCGACCATAATAGGCATTTCTACATATGAATAAAATTTTGATTTTGTTAAATTTTGAATACTTTTATTGTAATAGTACGTATTATTAGTCATTAATATTTAGGATCCGATCAACTCACCGATTATCGCTTCGTAGACACCACAATTCACCGACAATTGCTTACTGACAAGTTCATTTCATCGACAGTTTATTTCACCGAAGCTCATTTTACAAACAAAGCAATTCTGGTCAATATCATTAGGTTTAGGTTAGAATTAGAGTTAAAGTTGGTGTAATTTTTTAAAAAAAAAACTTGTCGGTGAAATGAGCTTCGGTGAAATAGACTGTCGGTAAAATAAACTTGTCGATGAATAATTGTCGGTTAAATGTGTTGTCAATGAAGTGATTGTCGGTGAAATAATACGGACCCTTAATATTTGATTCCACATACGTACCTGGAACATATAGTTCTTTCACTTCATCTAATACATTTGGAGCTATATGAACCAATGGATCTAATGGTGATTTCATTAACTGTTGCTATATAATGAATTAATTTAAAAGTAAGTTATGTTAAAAAAACATCTACATGATTTATATAGCATTAAAAATTTAAAGACCAAAAGAAAATTTTATATAGGTTTACTTTAATAAGTGCGATCCATAAACCAATTAATCCTAAAGCACTAATAAATAATCGTGGTTTTGAATAAGCAGACCATAGCAAGTATTTAAGGACATATGAAATGGCTTTATATACAAAAAGGAGAAGATTTAAGATATTCATGTGTTGAGTATTAACTTTACTACGTATTTTCAACTTTGTCTTTTAGTTGTTTATTTGGTCGCCTGTGGATTGAGTCACAAGGCTTTGTAATGTGGCACGCTTGTACATACATACTTACGTAAGTATGAAAGTATTTATACAACTTTTTTGGATTAGAAATATAAATTTGGCGTTTTTTTTCGAAATATTTGGCATTTATGGTTCCACGATCGTCAGATTGTCGCTTTGTGCAAGTTATCAAGTATCATTACCTCTCAATTTTTGTAAATCATCTAATATTATGCACTATGAACTTAATTTGTCCTAAATCAATCTCTATAATCATCGTTTTGCTCGTAATTATTGTTCCATTATCACATTCTGAGGTGAGCTTAGAGATAATAAGCTAGAAGCTTATTTATTTGCTAGTTTTAATATGAACTTATATGAATTGTCAATTTTATTTTAAAATTTTAAGAGTTTATTCACATTAATTCTTTCGTTATAGGTTCCATTTATAAACTCAATTATTGAATATTTTGAACCATGGGCCGATGTGAGTCAATTAATAATTCATAAAAATTCCTTCAATCAAATAAAATATTACTTTTTATTTAATACTTCACTATGATCAGTTTATAAAATAAATCAATTATTTTATGGTATTTTTAAATGATAAAAT